GCAGCCACCAATCTGGCCTATATGTATATATATATATATAATACATAATATTTGGGTTAGGGTCTAGGGTTTATAGGGTTTAGGGGTGATATATATATATATATACATATATATATATATATATAAGTTATATAAGTATACACACATACATACACAATATTCTTTGCACTGTGCCCTAGATAAAGGCTTAGGACTTGGAAACTGCGTCGCTGGAACAAAAGCTCAAGCTTTTCAGATTCTGTACATGGGCTTCCGGGTCATGCCCTAAACCCTAAACCCTAAACCCTAAACTCTAAACGAAGGGCTCTCTAGGTTCCTCAGTAGCCCCTTAGTAATAAGGGTACCCTCTCTCCTACTACTCGGTTACCCAAAAACAGAAACTTAGGGGCTGAGTACCCTAGCCCAAAAAAGGTTAACCTTTTGAATTATACTAGGATTATATAAGCCCCAAAAGGTTAAAGGTTACCTACCCAGCCCCTAAGGAAAGGGCGAAAGGGTGCTGCTGGGGATCCTAGTTCTGGCACTAGCGGTTGTGCAGGCCGTAGGGCTTGGGGTCTTAGGGATTTAGGGTTTAGGGTTTAGGCCTTAGGGCTTGGGGTCTTAGGGTTGAGGGTTTTAGGGTTTAGGGTTGACCATCCCAGATGCCATGGACTTGTCGATGGGCTCGTCTCGGATGTCGCCCCCGACAACCTTGATGAACCTCGATTTTGGCCAACGGTATACATGATTATATAATATTATATCATATTACCGTGCATGGAAAGGGTTCCCTTAAAGGAACCCTATTATAGAGCCCTGTAGGAACCCTTTAAAAGGGGACTCTTTACTATGGAACCTTATAGCAACCCCTTCAGAAACAATGACACGCCCTAAAGAACCCTCAGTCAGCCCTACAGATCCCTGAAGCTTCGTTAACTAGCGGTAGTTTTTCTGCAGCCAGGCCGCATCTACCTGTCCATACAACTCTTCAAACTCCGAAACTACACAATCCGGGCTGAGTCACGTATATATATATATATACATACACATACATGCATACATATACTGTGAGATAAATTAATGCTTAGAATAGGGTGTTGCGCATAGTATACTATGTAATCACCTCTGGGACGATAGGGCGGATATGGGTAGTTCTCTGAATTAGGGGCCCTTTCAGCGTCCTTCTATCAGGGTGCCGTACTACATTGGGGACCTAAAACCCTAAGGCTCAAAATAGCCCAAAAGCCTTATATAGTAGGGTCTTTGGGCACAAAAGCCTTAAAATATGAGTCCTCAGAGCCTTAGGGAAAGGGGACCCTAATTTAAAGAACTGCCCAAGTTATCTTCGCCGTACGGTCTCTTTCTGCCTTTGCCTTTGAGGGTCCCCTTCACGGTCCTTTTGGGTCGCTTCGGATTCGCTCAACAGGCCTCTATATTACCAATTTTTGGGTTTAGGGTTTAGGGTTTAGGGTTGGCTATGATTAGGGTAACTATATTACCAATTTTCGGGTTTAGGCTTTTGGGTATAGGGTTTAGGGTGCGACCCAGGGCCTCTATATTACCAATTTTTCGGAGGATGCTGCCAGGTGGCCCATGCTCGTAGTCGAAGCACCAGTCGATCGGATAGCTTCCGAGCTTCAGCGCCTGTCCTCTGCGCTGCTCGGAGTACTGGTTGTCTAGAGTCTACGGATCCCTAAACCCTAAACCCTGGATACCTAAACCCTGAACCCTAAACCCTAAACCTTACACCCTAAACCCTAAACCCTAAACCTCTTCAGCCAGACCAACCAAACTATGAAGATCGAAAACTGGAAAACGTGATATGGGCGAAGAATGCCCAAGGAACGGCTTTAGAAGAAAGGCCGAGGCGTGTTTTCGGGGGCTGAGGGGTAGGGATACTGGTTTATGTTTAAGGTACTGGCCGGTGAACAACTAAAAGTTCATGGACGTGGGCCAGACAAGTCGGGTAGAGCTCCAGTCACCTTACTTCGAATAATGTAGGGGCGTAAACAATTACCAATCCTATACTGGGGGGTCCTTATTATGGTTATACTAGAATGGGCCCCAGAACCCTATTCTGATTTAAGGGCCCTACATTACCGGGCTTAATGTGCAGGGTTTGGGCCCTTGCAGTCACCACAAAGCTTGGACATCTTCGGACTTCGGAAAACCTCTGGTTTCAGCCAAGACTTCAACACAGCAACATCAACCGTGCCTGCAACTCTGCGATGTACTTGCTTAAGTTGTTGCAATTCCAATTACACTATTTGGTTCGCAAGACAGAGGAAGCCCAGTGCAGTTCAATGTGCGTTGACTCAACAGACGACAGTAGGCTGTTTTGGATGTGTGAGCTGCAGCCACGCTTACGGGTTTTCGGGTTTAGGGTTTAAGGTTTAGGGATAGGTGTGTCAAGAGATCTGGGTCAGACTGTCAGAACCTGACCTAAGTCCGACTCCTAAACCCTAAACCCGAAACCGTGGAAGGCGAATCCCAAGGCGGTGTAAGGCCAGGAACTCCTGAAGAGGAGATTTTGATAGCTGTCGCAGGTGCACCAAATGGGTTTTATTCGAGGCCCCTGACATGAATGCCGGGGCCTCGATAACTAGAATAAGGTTTCGGGTGCCTTTACCGTATATTCCTCATAAGGAACACCCTAACATGTAATATTGGTACGCATTTGGGCCTAAACCATAAACCCTAAACCCTAAAACCTAAACCCTAAACCCTAAAACCTTCTACATTCCCCGAGATGGGATCTGAGCCCACGGCCGATCGTCTTGGCTTTGCTGTACTTCTCATACCTCTCAGGGCTTCGGGCGCGCGGTTTAGGGTTTAGGGTTTAGGGCTTCGGCTGCAGCCCTTTCTGCTCGGTTGTGAGCTGTGAGGGGGTTTGGGTGTAATTCCTTTTGTTGGGCTTAGTTTTTCGGGTTTAGGGTTTTTTTCGGGTTTCTGCTCCAAAAAGGTTAGTTTTTCGGGTTTAGGGTTTTGGGTTTGTTGCTCTAGAAGGTTTAGGGCTTTTACGACTCCAGGCCTTCGCGCAAACATAAAGGAGCAGTCGCAGTCGCGAGCGTGGCATCAAGAGCGAGAAGGGAATGCTTAGTTAGGTTATCACCGATTATACCGTGTAATGTTCTATACTGTATGTTAATGTGGTATCTACTAGATATTGCACACTTGATACTATACTATACTATGTATTGTGTATTGTAGAATCGAGCCTCTACCTTAACCTGCCGGAGGCTACCTGTTTTATGGGGTCTTGGTCTTGGTATAAGCCCCCGTCCCGAATTTATAGACACCCCCACACAAAAGGATAAGCAACATCAGGCTATTGTTGGTGAAGTTAGGCTTAGGGGTTTAGGGGTGCAGGGATACGGGGTTTGGGGTTTAGGGGAGGGAGTGTGATGCAAACATACTCAACACATGAGTTGCCGTCGCAGACAAACGCAGGAACCTTGCAAGCCGCTTTCAGCACAGCTTCTGACATCCCAGAAACTTAGAACCTGCGTACCCTAGCCCAAAAAAAGCTTAACCTTTTGAATTGTAGTAGGGTTATACAAGCCCCCAAAAGGTTAAAGGTTACCTATTCAGCCCCTAAGGACACAGCAGCAGGATCCTGCAAGAAACGCTCCAACGTCCGAAACCAAAGCCATGAACGTCCTAAACTCCTGTTGCCTTATAAGCCTAAAACTCTAAACTCTAAACCCTCGAATACCCCTAAAGACCCAAACCCTAAAACACAATACCTCACCCTAAACTCTTAAATCCTCAACCCTAAAGCTCTAAACCCGAATGTAGAAGCCAAAACAATGACCAATGTCACTGATAGGGTTCCATATGTTGATAATTCTGTAAAGGAGCCCAAAACCCTATTCTAATTATGAAGGCCCCTATATCCGAACCCCAAAAGCTCCAACAACCCAAACCCAACACCCTAAACCCTAAACCCAAAACCCTAAACCCTACGTATAACCCCCTATAAGGGGTAGACCCTAAACCCTCACAAATCCGGCCTGATGTGGCTTTTCGATCCCGGAGCCTTGGCGTGGGGCCGGTACCTCGGCGCTGGAGGGGTTTAGGGTTTAGGGTT